CTGTTTCTCTGGAACCCAGTTGCCATAACATGAGGAAGCCCAAGTAGCCATACTGAAAAGCCATGTGTAAAGCTAGGCATGATAGAACATGCCTATAATATCAGCAAAATTCAGGAGCCTGAAGCTGAAGAATCACTTGGATCCAAGAGTTCAAGTACAAACTGAGCAACATAGGGAGATCCAGGATCTCTAAAACAGGGAAAAAAAAAAAAAAAAAAAAGCCACGTGTGTGGTGTTCCTGTTCATCAGAAGTAGCTGAGGTACTGGCCAAGTATCAACCACTAAATTTGTCTTCAGATCAAAGGACTTAAAAACAGCACACTACAGGGACACAGCCACATCAATGTTTATAGCAGCACAATTCACAATATCTAAACTGTGGAGCCAACCTAGATGCGCCCTTCAGTGGAGGAATGGATAAAAAAAAATGTGGCATATATACACAATGGAATTTTACTCAGCATTAAAAGAGAATAAAATCATGGCATTTGCACGTAAATGGATGGCGTTGGAGAAGATAATGCTAAGCAAAGTTAGCCAATTCCAAAAAACAAATGTTGGATGTTTTCTCAGATATAAGGAGGCATAATGGGGTAGGGAGGGGGAGATGGGAGGATTAGATGAATTCTAGATAGGGAAGAGGGGAGGGAGGGAAAGGGAAGGGGCAGGGGATTAGCAAGGGTGGTGGAAAGTGATGGACAACATTATCCAAAGTACATGTATGAAGACTTGAATTGGGTGTCAACATACTTTATAAACAGATATAAACAGATATAAAACAGATATAAAAAATATATTACACATATATACTATGTGTAATAAGAATTGTAATGCAAAAAAAAACAAAGTACATGTATAAAGGCATGAATTGGTGTGAACATACTCTATATACAAAGATATGAAAAATTGTGCTCTATGTATAATAGAACTGTAATGCATTCTGCTGTCGTGTATTTAAAAAAATAAAATCAAAACTAAAAAAATGTAAATAATATACATATATGGGTCACATACATAACTTGAAACATTCTAGTTAACCACATTTAAAAATCAATTTTAATGTATTTAATTTAGCCAGGCATGGTGTCACACACAAGTAATCCCAGAGGCTCAGGAAGCTGAGGCAGAAAGATTACAAGTTCAAAGCCAGCCTCAGCAACTTAACAAACTGTCTCAAAATTTTTTAAAAAAAGGGCGGGGATGTGGCTCAGGGTTTACTGCCCCAAGGTTCAATTCCTGCTACCAAAAAAAATACATATATATATATTTTTTTTTTAATTTTTTATAGTTGTAGATGGACCGAATGCCCTTATTTTGTTTATTTTTATGTGGTGCTGAGGATCAACCAGTGACTCACACATGCTAGGCAAGCACTGTGCCACTAAGCTACAGCCCCAGTCCTATACATTTTTTCTTAATCAAACATCCAAAATATCATTGCAGCATATAATTAATATTTTAAAAGTTGAGGTTTTAGTTTCTTTTTTCATAGTCTTCAAAATCTGATATACATTTTAGACTCATCACATCTTGATTCAGACTAGTCTTATTTCAGTTGCTCAACAACCATTTATGACTACTGAATTATGGCAACTTGTGATAATTCCATTGCACAGCTGTCAACTCCAGCCTCCAGTTTTCCCAGCTGAAATGCTGGGCCCTTACTGAATTCTCTTTTTGCAAAATCTGTAAGCATAACTCCCACCCACATCCAGCATGGGCGGTGGGAATGGGGTTCCCCTCAGTGGAATGGACTGGCTGAGAAATAAAAGCTAGAAAAAATAGAACGACAAAGAAACCACAGGACACAGAAAATAGTCTCAAAAGCAGGGACAGGACAGGCAAGCCAATCATACAGATCAAGCTTCTATTCTAAGGAAAAATGGAGCCTATACCTGCTTTATTTATATCGAGAAACATCAAAGGCCTTCCATAGAATGTTCTTCACCAAAAAAGGTTAAAGGTAGGCTGTACAGTTCCCAATGGGTTACATCCATCTCTGGAGCTACCATGAGATCTTCCATGAGTGAGCTGAGATAGTTTGCAATGCCAAACCTAAATCTCCCTGGCTACAATAGCAAGAGAAGACCCTCAAGTAATTCATGGATGGCTTCCTGAATATTCCCTTTTTACTTGGCAAATGTAAATGATGAGCAGTTATTTCAAGTTCCCAGATTCTTGTTCTGAGGGTGTAACAACCTATTATCACAATACAAAAGAGAATTAGTAGCAAACATATCATTCCAATAATATACCATGTAGAATGGTTTAACATGTTTTTAGGATGGGAGCCAATCAACCAGCTAGAGATGTAGGGCCCATGAGATTGGTCCTGCTTTTTTAAGTATCCTAGGTGTCCTGATGTATCCCCATGAGGTTTAAGCCATTATTATTGCTATGCCAAACATCCATCAGATGATTTCTAATTTTTTCCAAATTTCATTGGGAAGCATGAAATTTGACTGCAGTAATACAGGCTTACTTATATTTAGCATGGCATTTAAGCCTTTGTTTGAATTTGAGAGTAGAAAGCTTATTATTGATACCTATAATAATAGCTTTTAGAATATTTAATCTAGTTGTAAGCTCTTATTAATATTTACCTGATTGCATAGGTCTTTAGAAATATTTTGAGCCAACTTATTAAGAAAATTAGCTTAGTTAGATTATGTTTTTTACAATTTACAGGATATCTATTATCCTTTTTTTTTTATTTCTATAACTCCAATTATTAAAACATAAGAGAATTAAATATAGGCTTGAAGGTTATAGCAGGAAACCACCTTGTTTTTCCTGCATATAAAGTTAGATATGGGGCCATTTGTAAGATGGAGAAAATGAGGCAACAATTAAATGCCAGAGATCTTTTTTGAATATCATCTTTCTTGAAAGTTAGAAAATTACCAAAGAAAATTTCAGGGGTCATAGAGAAAAGAGAATGGATTTTGTCCATAAATATAGTAAATATGGAGACAGATATAAACCTGAAATAAATATAGTGGCTGGGGTTGGTTGTAGCTCAGTGGCAGAGCACTCACCTAGCATGTGTGAGGTGCTGGGTTCAATCCTGAGCACCACATAAAAATAAAGGCATTCTGTCCATCTACAACTACATGTGTGTGTGTGTGTATATATATATATATATATATATATATATATATATATATATGATATATTTATGATATATGCATGATATACACATGATATATATATGCTCCAAATTATCATCAAATAAGAAATGACTGTTATAAATCCAAATGTGAGTTATTAATCTTTCTAGTGTAATATTAGTTTGCCAGGATTTAATTTGGCCTTCATTATATGACTGTAAATAATACAGGAAGTAATCTAAATAATATGGATTTTTATAGTGTATCTAATCTCATTTTTTTATTCTGAAAATAGTTTTAGATAACTCGATTATATTTCTAGTTTCTTAGATCTTTTACTAAATGATCCAAATTAAAACACAGTTGTTTGCAAATTTCTTTTAAAAAGTAAAAGTGGAACACATTTAGTGGTAGTTCTTCTACATTAAGTCCTCCTGACTTTGGACTTTCTGTAGGAAGAGGTATCATGATATAACCCTTTTATCAATTTTTTGAAGTCAATTCAAAACATATTTATCACCTCTGTACTGGCAAAGCATTGTACACTTCATTCATTTAGGAAAGATGCCAAAATCTATTGCAGAATGATTAGGGCAGTAATATTGGTGGATATTCTATGGAAATAACTGGCTTGTTATGGGAAAATTCCATTTCAATAATCATTCCGTTTTAATAACTGTCAAATATAACCCTAAATCCTAAGGACCAGTATAATTGGATAGTCTAGGTTCTTCCTATGTTGTCCTTTCCTCAAAAGTTGCCTTTCAATAGCCAGTATATTTATTATGGGACCAAAATATACTTAGGTTCCTACTCTAGCCAGTATACTTAAATCCAGTCACATGGATGGGTATAATATGAGTATCTGCAAAACCACCCATCATATGAGTATCATCAGTAAACACTGGGATGGATTCTCCAGTCCACATTGCTAGGTACATTAAAGGTGGACTTGGGGAATGGGTCCATAGAAGTCAAGGCATGCATAGCTAAAAACACTGTAGTTGGAGATTTACCTTCCTGTGTCAAGTTTTTCAGCCGTTTCCAAGATGACAGCTTTAGAGTCTATCCTTTGAAATCTGATTTATCCTATTGTTCCATGTGTTGCTCAGCAACAGTAAGACTTTTGGTGTCATGACTTAAAGAAATTTTTAAGAATTTTATGAGATTAGCAGGACATGTAGGGTTCTGTTTTCCCTCTTTTTTATTTAAAATTGAAGAAAAAGTTGATATATGCTAGAGTATCATTAGTCTTAAATTGTAAATAGTGGCCTAGTATAGTCCTATGAACCTAACTTTAAATGATCTTGGATGGGTACTTTAATGAAGTGAGAGGCAGAGTTTTACCTTATGAAAGGTGGCATCTATAAAGGTATAGAAGACATAAATAGACATCCTTTGTAGAAGAAAATATATATACATGTTTAGTGAGCATAGGAAAAAATATTTATTACTAATAATGAGAAATGAAATAAAAGAATTAATAGTCTTTTACTTACCAATTTAGAAAAAATTTTTATTATCTTTAAGTCTAATGTTGATCTAAGTTTGGGGAATCAGTACTTTAAATATTGATTGGTAAAAGTGAATCAGTACTATTGCTTGGGATAGTGATTTAATAAATTATTTAGAAAAATTTAGAATTGACCCAGCAATGACATCTCAAGGGACTTATGGTGAAACAATTTTTATGTACAAAGATACAGCTGTGTGAATATCTTTATAATTTTGATTTTAAAGTAGTAAGATTAAGTGTTTAACATAGGTTTTGATAAAGAAATAATATGATAAAAAATTGGTATTAAAAGTAACATTGTAAGTTTGATGAATGAATAAACGTTAGCACTTGTGGTTGGAAATACTGACTTGACCTAGAATTATTCAATCAAATAAAACCAATGTCTAGGTTAGTTCCGATCGCAGAGGAGACACCGCTGCAGTTGCCGCCACATCGGGGATTTCTGGCTCTTTTCTCTTCGCCTTAAATTCGGGTGTCTTTTATGAATAATCAAAAGCAGCAAAAGCCAACGCTATCAGGCCAGCGTTTTAAAACCAGAAAAAGAGATGAAAAAGAGAGGTTTGACCCTACTCAGTTTCAAGACTGTATTATTCAAAGCTTAACTGAAACTGGTACTGATTTGGAAGCAGTAGCTAAGTTTCTTGATGCTTCTGGAGCAAAACTTGACTATCGCAGATATGCAGAAACACTCTTTGACATTCTGGTGGCTGGTGGAATGCTGGCCCCAGGTGGTACACTGGCAGATGACATGATGCGTACACATGTCTGCGTGTTTGCAGCACAAGAAGACCTAGAGACCATGCAAGCATTTGCTCAGGTTTTTAACAAGTTAATCAGGCGCTACAAATACCTGGAGAAAGGTTTTGAAGATGAAGTAAAAAAGCTGCTGTTGTTCTTAAAGGGTTTTTCAGAGTCGGAGAGGAACAAGCTGGCTATGTTGACTGGTGTTCTTCTGGCTAATGGAACACTTAATGCATCCATTCTTAATAGCCTTTATAATGAGAATTTGGTTAAAGAAGGAGTTTCAGCAGCTTTTGCTGAAAACTCTTTAAATCATGGATAAATGAAAAAGACATCAATGCAGTAGCTGCAAGTCTTAGGAAAGTCAGCATGGATAACAGACTGATGGAACTTTTTCCTGCCAACAAGCAAAGCGTTGAACACTTCACAAAGTATTTTACTGAGGCAGGCTTGAAAGAGCTTTCAGAGTATGTTCGGAATCAACAGACCATAGGAGCTCGCAAGGAGCTCCAGAAAGAACTTCAAGAACAGATGTCCCGTGGCGATCCATTTAAGGATATAATTTTATATGTCAAGGAAGAGATGAAAAGAAACAACATCCCAGAACCAGTTGTCATTGGGATAGTCTGGTCAAGTGTAATGAGCACCGTGGAGTGGAACAAAAAAGAGGAGCTTGTAGCAGAGCAAGCCATCAAGCACTTGAAGCAATACAGCCCTCTACTTGCTGCCTTTACTACTCAAGGTCAGTCTGAGCTGACTCTGTTACTGAAGATTCAGGAGTATTGCTATGACAACATTCATTTCATGAAAGCCTTCCAGAAAATAGTGGTGCTTTTTTATAAAGCTGAAGTCCTGAGTGAAGAGCCGATTCTGAAGTGGTATAAAGATGCACATGTTGCAAAGGGGAAAAGTGTCTTCCTTGAACAAATGAAAAAGTTTGTTGAATGGCTCAAAAATGCTGAAGAAGAATCTGAGTCTGAAGCTGAAGAAGGTGACTGAATTTTGAAACTACATCCTCAGTAAAGCAAACAGGAGTTGTAGATAAAATGTCATGTCTCATGTGTCCTGGTTCTTACATCTTCCTACCTCCCTATATCAAGCATGATATAAGGGCTTTCATGGCAAATTTTATTTTAACTGTTTCTATGGTTACTGGAAATGTTGGGTTTAGTTTCTAAAACCATGTTTTAAGTAGCTGCAGGAGCTATAGATTTGAATCTAATGTTGCATTAGTCTTTTCAGTTATCTTCTACCTCCTGTATTTTCTACTGTGATAATGTAATTTAAGGCCTTCCACAATGAACAGTTCACTTTATTCCCTGGGTTTTCTATATATAAACAGTTTTCAAGATATGATTTGGTTAAAAATAATTTGTTATAAAAATTATGTTTGCAAATTAAACTGTAAAAGTATCCAAAGTCTCAAAAGGCAATGGTTTGTGTGATAACTTGGTATGCCTAGAGCCCTATTCATCAATGAAAGTCTCTTACACAGTAATTGAACTCATTAACATGATCCTGAGTATTTGGACCATTGCTTGCATGTTAACATTTACTTGTATTTTTAATCCCAGATGTCCTTAAGTTCAATTGTTTGCTCTCTGTTTTTCATCATTAGTGAAGCTATGGAGAACAAACTTGAAGTTTGAGGAATCTCATATGTCAGAGATGGTAGGAAGAAGAAAATTGAACTTTTCCCATTGAGAAACTTCTGCATTCAGTTTGTATCTTTCTAGGCAAAACAAATGGATACTCTTTTCATATGAACATTTTCAAATGTACCATAGAAGTCTTATTTTGTGCTCAGAATACCCTTAGATTGATATGAAAGGACTTCTAAAAAAGTGTGAATAGAGGAAATGACTGTTACAGACCCCCATAAAATTGTTGAGAATGTTAAGAGTCAGCATGTTCTAATTGGGGATCTGAATTTAACATATTTCCTTTTGGCTTAGTGCATTTGTTCCAAAGAATGGAGTTCAATAATTATATATTCTCACTTGGTCGTACTGGACTGGCTTCATTCTCTTAGTACATTCAGTAATGACTCAAGCATCTGGCTGTTAATGTACCCTAGTTGCCAATTCTTAATTGCCATGAGCCAAATATTTCTTCTATGTGATTAATCCATTTATTTTAATGGCTGCCTTTTAATTTTTCATCTTTTTATTTTCTTGCTGCTGCCCATCCATGTATGTAGTCATTAATGGGAAAATATTACAACATTGGGTGGAAAGGCATTGTTATAAGTGAATGTTTTGAAGGATTTTTTAATAGAAAGAAACTAGCCTGGAATAATGCCACCAGAGATTGAGTGGAAATTACCCCTTTTGAAGGTGCCATTCTTATTAGCCAAGAAGTTGGTATTTAAACATTCATCTTGAGGGAATAACGTGTAATATAATTTGAAATAAAGTTATAGTGACCTTAAGAAGAGCATTATAACAGATAACATTGTGGGAATGGGGTGATTTTGTTAAATGAATAACTTTGATAAAGTTTTCCTGTGCAGGCAAAATGTATTCACTAGATTTCTACATAGTGATCTGCTTTTACTTTGTAATTTGTAGTCCGCAAAATACTTTTTTTTTTTAATAAAGTCCATCCTTACAAAAAAATTAATAAATAAATAAATAAAACCAATGTCTAATAAAAAAAAAGTAACATTGTAAAAGAGCATTAACAATGTACAATTTAAAATGATTTTATAAGTTTTGAAAATATCAATATGATCCTATTTTTATATAAAATATGTATAGAAAACAGTTTAGAAGACTATGTATTAGGTTTTTTTTGTGTTAGATATTACAGTAGTTATCTATGGACAGTAGAATGTTATGAGATTTTTATGTATACCCCTTAATTTCTAACAATGGGTCCCTTGGCAAAAGTTAGATAAGGTGTTTTAATCTTGTAATTAATTTCAGTTTCTCATTTGAGTATCAGTTTATAAACTTTGGTATGTAATCCTTTGGGTCAATAAAAACTAGTTGACCCATTTTAATGTTATATCTAGAATATGAAATGGACAAATTAAGAGAACCTTTAAACCCTTCTTGAGAGAAGATGTTAAAACATTTTTATATCTTATAATGTTACCCTTTAAATAAGCTAGTATCTCTCCATTGTCTTTTAAAAATATAGCTAAACCTACTTCCCACTGTATAGAGTAACATATAAGCTCTATAATATATTTATATAATTATACAAAATCATATATTTAGGAAATAGAGAGACAATTGATATATAAGAATTAGTAACAATTATTTTAATTATATTGATGTTTTTAAATCAATTAAATTTAGCTTTTAAAGAGAAGTTTGAAATTTGGAATTTAGATGGCATTAGAAAATATTTTTTATTTAAGTAGAAATGTATGAATCTTAATTTCTTAAAAATTAGCCCTTTTTTAAGTAATAAAACTTACCACACATAAATTATTGTTCTATTGGAACAAAAGTAGATTAATGCTTTAATAAGTTCTTATCATCTCAATGTATAGGTTAAAATTTTGGTTTATATTAGCACAACAATGTTTGCTCTAAGGGGAAAGCCTCAAATGTTTTTAATTGATGGGTAAAAATGAGTCAGTAGTATTGCTTGGCCAATGATTTAATGAATTATTCCATATATTTATAACCAATTTAGTTACAGACAAACTTGTTCTCTATTTACGCAAATCTTCTATATTACTTACTTAGACCTTTGTACATATATCTGGTTTACCACTTTATGAAAACATAAACAAGAGTTAGGCGTTAAGATTACTTGATGTTAACATCTTAACTTTATAAGTCAATATATATCTCTTGAAATAGGCATTTATATAATGAATTACATTTACCCTGAATTTATTTTAAACAGTAAAAGGCAGAGCATCAAGTAAATATACATAATAATAAGTTATGTATTTCCTGTTGAAGAAAAACAGTTAAGAGCAAATAAATACATGTTAATTACCCTATAAATTAAAAATCTTTTAGATTATTTAATCAGCTGGAAAATGTATTAAGAATGAAGATATAATTTATTTTTATTTAATCAGCCATTTTAAATTGAATTTTATTAAATCACATGACTTAAACGTATTTGGATCCATTTTTATTTTACTTTAAGTATTATAAGTGTACTCTTTTATCTGTGTAAATTTTGACATTATGTAATGTAGTTAAAGTAGAATTTTTGTGCATATACATATTTAATACTTGTGGTGACATTTAGAAATCAGAAGAATAAAAATTTTGGCCATTATGAGAACGTTGTGAGATTAAATATTTCAGATTGCCATTATTTTGTAATGGTCAAATTTACATTTAGTATCCCTAAAAAACAAAAACAGTGTGTGAGAAAACATAAGTAGAACATCTTTTGTTAACGCAATAATTTTTTGCAATTCTTTAGTAGTGTGACAGTCAAGAAAAAGGGCAATTCCTTGGAGAAACCTGTTATAGAACTATAGATTAGTTTATTTAACTCAGCATTGGGAAAGAATTCAGAACAAGGCTGCTATTAAAGATGCAGGAATTTGTTGTTTTGGATTTTGCCTGTTAAATTTTTCTTCCCACCCCGACCCCCTCACCCCCACCCTGGTTAGCAAGTATTTATTTGCAAACATGAAAGAAAATTTTGCCTCTGGGCATTCCTCTTTAAGGAACAGAGACATTCCTTAAATGTTGGGGGAGGGGTGCGGGTATTTACTTGGGGCTTGTTGGGGGGCGGCCCCCCCCCCCCCCCCCCCCCCCCCCCCGCAGGGTCCCAATCCGGCCCCAAATTCCTGAGCGCCGAGGGCACTGGCTTTCGCTGCCGGATCTGGGCTCCCAGACTTTACACCTAGAGTTCCAGTCGGGCCTGAGCTGCCTTGACGGAGCATCTGGGGCTCCAGAGGGCTGTATCCTCAGGAGGTGTCCAGTCTTGCTGGTTCAGCAAGCTTGATAAGCATGAAGCTTCTGTCTTTGGTGGTCTTGGTCGGGGGTTTGCTGGTGTCCCCAGCTCAAGCCAACAAGAGTTCTGAAGATATCCGGTGCAAATGCATCTGTCCACCTTATAGAAACATCAGTGGGCACATTTACAACCAGAATGTATCTCAGAAGGACTGCAACTGCCTGCACGTGGTGGAGCCCATGCCCGTGCCTGGCCATGGAAGCCTAGTGCCTGCTATGTGAGTGCAAGTAGTCTACCTGTCCGTGGTGGGGGCCCTTTTGCTGTACATGGCCTTCCTGATGCTGGTGGACCCTCTGATTGGAAAACCAGATGCTTACACTGAACAACTGCACAATGAAGAGAAGAATGAGGATGCTCTGTCCCTGACAGGTCCCTGGCAGCCGCTGCTGCATCCCTCGCACCCCCAAACACAGTCCTAGAGCTGTGGAGGGTGCTCAGCAGTGGTGGAAGCTGCAGGTGCAGGAGCAGCGAAAGACAGTTTTCGATCCGCACAAAATGCTCAGCTAGAGGGGCAGCTCCGTCAGGTCAAGGACCCAGGCTGTGGCTGCCAAATTCCAGAGCTGCAAGGAGCCAGGGGCCACTTTCTATTTTGCCTCAGCCAATCTTCCCTGGGTCTTCCCTGTAAAGGCTCATGGCATTTTCCCGTCTCCCTGTTTGGAAATGTTGTACCCCACCGTTTTAATTAGGGACTGTGATGGGTCTCTGATCTCTTGTGTCTCGGATCTTTGAGATAGAGGGGGAGGGGAAAGGAAGTCCAGAAAGGAATGAAGATTATCCAAGGTGGCCTCAGGGTCGGGCAGCATCTGTCCCTTCTGGCTCCACATCTTGGGGATGTCATTGCCCTTTGCAAGATGAAGCTGTGTCATCAAGAACTCAGTGTTTGGGTGGGAGCAGGGCCCAGCATTCGGCAAGTGCTCCTGTCTGCAGCGGCTCTTCCTCCCACCTCCCTTCCAGCCCCTGTACCTCTGCCCAAGTCTAGCCAGTGCCACTGAGCTTATGGAGGTCTTCAGGGCACTCTGGGAGCTTGGCTCCTTCTCCCTGGCCTCCTTGTCCCGGATGCATGGCGGTGCCCGTGCATCCTGCCTGCTCTGCAGCCTGCCTCCCCACTCCACACCAGGAGTCCAGGCAGGCTCTCAGCCCTCCCCAGTGTCTGCAGTTGTTGAGCCGGACAGTGGACTTTAATACCAAAACTCCTATCCTTGGATTGCCAGTTGTCCCTGAATTTCATTGTCCCAGTGCATGGAGAGAAACTTTGTCCCTCTGTTGTCTTAGAGTTGTCTGTACATCAAGGAAGCCATCATTAAATTGTTTTATTTCTAAAAAAAGAAAACAGGGCAAAGCTGGAGGGCGTGGCTAGAAGGTCCGCCCCAGCAATGATGGGAGGAACTGAAAGAAATCCCAAGTATGGCAAGCAGAGCTTGCCATGTCGCTGCTGCATGGCCCTTCTGTGCATTCCAAGTGACCCGAAATCCTGCCTGCAGCCTGGGGGTCCCAACCCTGGGCACCGTTCTGTCTTGAGTGTTTTTCATGTTTGTCCATCTTAAGTTAGAATATTGGCAGTCCTGTCTGGAACCCGCCAGGCTGAGGACAGCCACATTAGCCCAAGTCCCACCAGGCCAAGAGCTGCAGCAGCCATGGTCCTGCACTAGTCACTCTGGGCCCTAAAAATCACAGTTCACCCCCAGAGCTTCCCCAGTTGCTTGCATTCTGCCTGCTCTGGGAGCTGCTGCCCTTATGGTTATGTCCATCTCGGGTGCTACTATGAGGGATCTTCCTAATAGAGCAGAGATATTGTGCGATCTATTGTCACGGAAGAGCTATGGATAGTTCGAAACGCCAAATCTAAATCTCCCTGGCTACCATGGCGAGAGAAGACCCTCAAGTAATTCACGGATGGCTTCCTGCACATAAGAAAATAAAAAACTAAGTTTGGAGTGATTATTATTCTTCAAGAGACACTAGGAATACCAAGCCTACAAAAGTTTGATACTAAACATTTCCCTGCTAAGATGTTTTTCCTGCCTCTTTCTAGGAATTTACTATAACTAGTACATTGATGAGCAATGCAATCTCTGTACACTAGACTATTTCCTTAAATTTGAGTGGCATTTCTGGATCAATAAGAACATGTATTTAACAGATATATATTTACATTGTCAAACTTATCCAAAGCAGCTTAACCAGTTTTCACCAATTACTTTTTGAGTGGCCAATTCAACTCTATCAGTGATATATTTTTTTGTCATAAAGGCTCAAGTAATAATGTATGCAACAGGTACTACACCATTATTCTGTGATTTGGCTTTTTTTTCCCTCTTAATGTCTGAGAAATCTTTTCCTGTCAGTTCATACAAATGAAACCCATCAAAATATTAACTGAGAGCCATGGAAACCGGGAGCGGCTGCGGAGGCCTCTCTGGGATCTTGTTGTGGGACCGCTGCAGCTTCTCTGCCTCCGCCTTCCGGCAGCAGCCAGCTTCCAGGTGGGAGTGCTTACCCGGGTTTACCAGCAGAAATGCAGACTCCAGGCTGCCTTCACGCCGCCCCTTCCCTCGAGTGATTCGAGGGAATTGTGGAAAATCTTTATTTTACTCAGTGAAGGCTGGAAAACTGTGACCTTCAGGCTAAATCTGGCCCATACCTTATCTGGATAAATATGAGACTTCTGGTTACAGAAAAGGATGTGATTTTCAGAATAATCCTGCGTGAGAAGGATGAGTCCAGATGTGCCTCTGCTGAATGATTACAAACAGGACTTCTTTCTGAAGCGCTTTCCACAGACTGTTCTAGGAGGCCCTCGACTCAGATTAGGCTTTTATGCCCCTCCTTACGTATATGTTAATCAAATTATCCTTTTTCTGATGCCATGGGTTTTGGGTGGAATAGGAACACTTTTGTACCAGCTGGGAATCCTGAAAGACTATTATACGGCATCACTTTCACGTGGACTAATGCTTTTCACTGCATTTGTCATCCAGTTCACAAGTTTATATGCCCAAAACAAATCAGCAACAGTACAAAGAATGCTAACTACAGATATCTTAGCAGAGGAAGATGAGCATGAATTTACAAGCTGTGCTGGTGCTGAGACTGTCAAATTTCTAATTCCTGGAAAGAAATATATAGCCAATATAGTTTTTCATTCTGTTCTTCCTGGGCTAGTATGTGCTCTTGGAACAAGGTATCTGCTTCCAAATAGAATAACCTTGCTGTATGGCAGTATAGGAGGCACTGCTCCTCTATTTGTCTTTGGATGGATAACACTCTGTATAGGAGAATACTCATTAATTGTGAACACAGCTACAGAGACTGCAACTTTCCAACCTCAGGATACTTATGAAATCACTCCTCTTATGAGACCCATTTATATTTTTTTCTTTGTTTCTGTAGATCTTGCACACAGGTAAAAAACCTACCAAATATTTTATAACTTGCTTTGTTTTTATGTATACCTGATAAGAGAGCTTTTGCTAGTATTTACAAAAATGAATCTGGATTAAAAATCATGCCCAAATCATTGGGTGATGGGTTGTTTTTATGATTAATCTTAGAAGTAATCAATGTAAAACATTTATGCTAAAAAGTAATAATTAAATCATACTGAAAGGGGAAAATTCCTTTTTCAAGAAAAGTAAACTATTTTTCAATCCTGTATTTCATTTTAAAGAAAGACCATTGAGAATCTATAAGATAACTGGGCCAAAACCTATGAAAACAATGGAACTTTCTTGAGGAGAATGAGGAAAGAATAATTTAAAAGTTATATGTGTAAATATTATACAGGTTGAGTGAATTCAAGATGACTAGAAATTTTGTTATATAGGAGGAATATTGATTTATAAATTAGTTTGTTATAGAAGAAAAATAAAAACATTTAAAATATAAAAAAAAAAAAAATATTAACTGATTTGGCCGGGCATGGTGGCCCATTCCTGTAATCCCAACCACTCAGGAAGCTAAGGAAGGAGGATTACAAATTCAAGGACAGCCTCAGGCACTTAGCAAGGCTCTAAGCTACTCAGAAAGACCCCATCTTTCTGTGGCTCAGTGTTAAGTGTCCCTGGGTTCAGTCCCTGGTACTCATCCCCCAAAATAAAAACCTGACTTAATGATAAATAATAGCACGGTAGCACAAAGAATGCAGGTATCTTAATAAAACCACTGCCCTGAAAACAAGCATTACAACAACTTCAACTTTTCAAAAGAAAAGTAAAAATACTTTAGAAGGGTGGGTAACGGGGATTCAACTCAGGGTCACTAGGCCATTGAGCCACATCCCAAGCCTATTTTGTATTTTATTTAGACACAGGATCTCAATGAGTTGCTTAGCACCTTGCTTTTGCTGAGGCTGGCTTTAAACCTGCAATCCTCCTATCTCAGCCTTCTGAACCGCTGGGATTACATGTGTGCGCCACCTCGTCCAGCTACCATCTTTAGTTTTTATTAGATATTACTAAGTAGAAAGAAATGTTAAGTTAAAGGGCAAAGTGGGTAAGTCAAGCTATGCTTCTCACCACCAAGCACATTATTCACAATTCCTTCAATAATATGTAAATATACCAAAGTTCTTGTACCCTTAAAAGCACAAGATAGTTTCACTGATTTTCGCCAAACAGATGCTCCCAAATCTGATTCACAGATCACTATATTTGGCCATTTCTTTTTATTTTAACCATTTATATTTCTTTCTTGATAACTGCACAATAGTTTCCAAGACCACATCTCTGCTAGGATTTGTCTCACATATTTTTTTTTTATTTTTTTTTTGTAGTTGTAGATGGACAGAATACCTTTATTTTATTTTTATGTGGTGCTGAGGCTCGAACCCAGTGCCTTGCAGATGCTAGGCAAGCGCTCTGCCGCTGAACTACAGCCTCAGCCCTGTCTCACATATTTCTAAGCTCTCTCTAGTTGTGGGAAGCCATCCTGACACGTGACTGGGTGGCTCCCGTTAAGCGTCTGAGGCTTCTGGCTGTGTCGGAATTTTCCCGGCCCTTTCCTGATGAAAGAACCCGTCCGTGTGGGGGTGTGACTGACCACTGACCCCGGGGGCCCAATCACTGACCCTGACCTTGGAGTGCAGTCCCCCCTCAACCTTCATTGGATGGAATTATCCCCTGAATTTCTTGTTCCCCAATAAAAGGCTACTCCCTGGCGTGTTCACTCTCTCTCGCTCCTGCTAGCCCTGAGTAATCCTTGCTGCCCTGCTGGGCGGTTAGAGGTCGGAGCCAGAGAGGGGAGCCGTCTCGGACCTGGCAATAGAAATAAGGTAACTGAGTCTGTGTGTTTTATTTCGATCTCTTCTAACTAACTTTATGCCAAGAACCTCATTAATGAAACTATTGCGCAGGCCGCATGGTGGATCTAGTATCTGTTAAACATGTAGTGGTAATACTTTCCCCATTTCTGACTCTTCGTGTTTTAATATTGTGAAGTCTCTGGTCATGAACAGCTTTTAGTGTTTATGTAAAATATATCTTTTGTTTGATTTTTATAGCTTCTAAATTTTCTGTTTTAGAAAACTATATTAAGCCAGATGTGGTGGCACATGCCTATAATTCCAATAACTTGGGAGGCTGAGGCAGGAAGCTTGCAAGTTTTGCAAGGTCCTATTCAGAGCTCTACCCCATTTGTTTCAACTGGTACACAGTATTCTTTTGTAACTATTCCCATGTTGATAGATACTTAGATTCCAAATACTTCATTCCTGCAAACCACATTACAATGAACATCCTCACAAGTAACTTCTCCCAGAGGAACACAGAATATTTTTTCAAATATGTAATTTATTGAATGTCTCCTCTAATGATAGGAAGGAATAAACCACTCCTGCATGAGTTACCACACTAACATTAGACTGCTCTTTCTTGATTATGAATTTTCTTATGTTGTTTAAGGGCTGAACTCGTTCCTTCATTCATTACATTTGTAAGGTTTTTTTCTGGTATGCAGCCTCTGATGCTCAATAAGACCTGAGTGGTGCCAACAACTTCCTACACTTCTTATATTGATAGGATTTTTCTCCAGTATGAATTTTCTGATGTCCAGGAAGGGTGAGGTCTTCATGAAAGCTTTCCTAGTCTTTACACTGATAGGGTTTATTTCCACTATGAGTCTTTTGATGATAAATCAAAGATGAGCGGTACCTGAAAGATTTCCCTCACTGATTACAGTGATAGGGTTTCTCTCCTATATGCATTCTTCGATGATTATTAAGAGCTGAGCTCTTCCAAAAAGCTTTTCCACATTCATTACACATATATGGTTTCTCACCAGTATGGATTCTTTGGTGTTGCAATATAGTTGATCTATCCCTGAAAGCTTTTCCACATGAATTACATTTAAAAGGTTTCTCTCCACTATGTATTCTTTTGTGCTGAGTAAGGGATGAATTCTGAGCGAAGACTTTCCCACAGATTTCACATTTGTAGGGTTTCTGGCCAGTGTGAACTCTCTGATGACTTAAAAGGATAGAATTCTTTCTGAAAGCTTTTCCACATTCATTGCATTTATGGGATTTTTCTCTAGATTCATTCTTCTGATGGTTAATAAATGTTGATGGCTTCTTGAAGAATTTCCCACATTTACTACATCTATAAGGTGGACTGCCCAAATGAATTTGATGATGATTTAAAAGAGATGAACTGCTCATAAAAGCTATCCCACATTCTTTACATTTATATGGTTTCTCATGAGTGTGGCTTCTCTGGTGGCTAATAAAGGAGGTGTTATATTTGAAGACTTTCCCACATTCCTTGCATTTATAGGATTTCTTCTCTGTGGAGTTTCTGCTCTCCCAATCCAGGCCTCTTTCCAACATGAGAGTTTTTGCTTGCTCTCCAAGAACAGATCCTTCAGAAGGATTTTGCCTTAGGGCTGACATCTTTGTTTTAGGCCAATACTCTTGGACTGAAAGAAAATTTTAAGAATTCAAATGTCCTCTTTATTAGCAAACTGAAGATGAGAGTAATGTTCTATTCTCCATGACTAAGAGATAAGTAAATTATCAATGTGTCTCATTTGTGATTCTTGCTGAGATGGCAAGAGTAATGACAGGAGAAGTAGGATTCAGGAAGAAATAGAAGAACTTTAAACATGTATATAGAGAATGCAATGAGCACCTAAGAGGTTGATAAAAAAAATAACACAGAAAACAGCAGAGGGGAGGGGAGGGGAGGGGAGGGAAAGGAAGAAAAAGAATGTGAGAGGGGCTGGGGTTGTGGCTCAGGGGTACAGCGCTCACCTAGGACATGCAAGGTGCTGGGTTTGATCCTCAGCACCACATAAAAAGAAATAAAATAAAGGTATTTTGTCCAACTAGAACTAAAAAAAAAAAAAAAGTGGCTGGGATTGTGGGTCAGCAGTAGAGCGTTCACCTAGTACATGTGAGGCCCTGGGTTCAATCCTCAGCACCACATATAAAAAATAAATTAAATAAAAGGTATTATGTAAAAAAAAAAAAAAGTGAGGATAAATGCAAATTTGGGAGGAAAACCAAGTGCACGAAGCAAGCCATGATAACTAAACTCTTGTCAGTAGGATATTTGAGAACTTGAAAATTACATTTCTCTGAGAATTCAACAATATGCCAAATTTACTGTCTTGGAGGACAAAAAAATTAAGGAAACAAAACAGTTCTCAGGCCAAGAATTTATTATAACAATCTAAATTTCTAACATGAGGTGAACTATGTAATTTTCCTCTAGCTGCTTACAGTTAACAGACCAACAGAAACTAAGCAAAATGATTTTGACAAGAATGTTTTTAAAAAACTAATGCAGCCAAACTTGTGAAATCAACAATCACTGACCAATTCTTTTACTGAATGCATTGGGGAGTGAGGGGGAATACTGGAGATTGAACGGAGGGAATAACTGAGCTATATCCCAGCTATTTTTATTTATTTTTTGAGACAGCATCTCAATAAATTTCTTAGGGTCTCATTAAATTGCTGAGGCTAGCCTCAAACTTGCCATCCTCCTGTCTCAGCCTCACAAATCACTGGGATTACAGGCGTGTGCCACTGTGCCTGGCATGAAAACAAATTTTTCTTACAAAATAATATAGATAAATAGATATTGTATTTGTATATATTATACCTATAGATATTATGTCCACTATATACCCTTACTTGTATTTATATGTTTATTACTCTAGAGAAAAATTATATACATCATATACTAACACTAAGACTTATTTTTCAAGGAAATGTAAGTTGAAGGTAAACCTCGGTAAGAAAAAAATCCAGCTCTGTGATGATATATATACATTTTTTTTTTTAAAAGAGAGAGAGAGAATTTTTAATATTTATTTATTTTTTTTTTTTTGGCGGACACAACATCTTTGTTTGTATGTGGTGCTGAGGATCGAATCCGGGCCGCACGCATGCCAGGCAAGCGCGCTACTGCTTGAGCCACATCCCCAGCCCCCTATACATTTAATGTGTAATGATTTAACTAGAGAAATTTCCAAGGTACTAATTGCAGAATAGGTGAAGTTAAATTAGTTATATGAAGAGAAAGATACACACATGAACACTTTGTGACAAAGGTAGCACACAAATTGATGAGGAAAAGGAAACTCTTCATTAACACATTTTTGGGGAGAAATAGTAAACATGAAATCTATTCCATACAATGCACAAAAATCCTTTCTAAAAGAATGATAAATCTAAATGTAAAATACAAACTATAGGGCTGGGGTTTGGGCTCAGTGGTAGCCTAGCACATATGAAGCACTGGGTTCAAGCCTCAGCACTGCATAAAAATAAATCAATAAAATAAAAATAAAGGTATTCTGTCCATCTACAGCTAAAAAAAAATACATATTAAAAAAAAAGACAAACTATAAAGTTTCTAAAAATCACATAGTATAATTCC